TTTTTTTTTTTTTTTTTTACATACAGAACTGGGGTACAGGCCACAGGTGCAGGGGGTGAGTGGATTCACCAGAGACAGAGTAGGAAGTAGAACAGCCTGACTGATTGAAATGCTGAGGGAAGCTGCGAACAGGTCTGGAAAGGTTTGCCATGCCATATAGGTCACCCCACTGGCAGAGGAATCAAACTCATGCTGCAGTGGCTGCAATAGATTCATAGTGCTGAGCTTTAACCCACTGCACCACCAGGGAGGGCTCCCAAAACTCACTTTAAATGAACAAATTATGTGCGCTCCTGTCTCACCTGCTGCTCCCCTCAGCATTGTACATCGCTGATCTGCCTGTTCTGCTCCCCACACTGTTTCTGGTCTGCACCTCAATTATGTATGCATAAATACATAAATCTTTAAATAAAATAAACAGATTTTATAGTGAATTATGTTTCAATAAAGGTTTTTTCAAAAAACTTCTTCCTATATTTTCTTTAAGACAACTATTTAAAGCAAAAATAACAATTTGGACTTATATTAGAAGTAAAAAAAAAAGGCATGAGATCAATATAAAGGATGAAAAAGGTAAATAAATGAAATTACATTTTCCATCTTTGTGAACTATGAAAACAGAAAAATGAAAAATGGGGAGTGTCAAACTGATGCTAAATAGGACAATAGGACACAAATTAAAGCTACTGCTAACAGCTCAATACTTTAAAATATCCAATTAGTCAAAAAACCAGGAAAGGAACAAAAAACAAAAGGAACAAGCATAATGCACTTAAACCTACTGGTATCCATAATGCATTAACTATAATGGAAATAAAACACCAATTAACAAGATTTTTGGACCAGATTTAAAAAAAAAAAAAAACAAGACCCAACTATGTTCTATTTGCCTTCACCTTGTTTCAAAGCAAAATAATGAAAACATACTCTTATCATATAGTGAGAGTAAGAAAGCTAAGATGACAAGATGACCATACTAATACCCAAAAAAACGGGTTTTTTTCCAGGACAATTGAGTATTACAAGAAGCAAAATGGGACATTTCATAATGACAAAAAGGAAAAATTCATCAAAACAAAGTATCCTATTATTTATGTGTCCAATAAAAGCTTCAAAATACATATAGCATGACTGAATTAAAAAGATAAATTGACAGGGCCCTCCCTGGTGGCACAGCGGCTTAAAGCATAGCACTGAGAAGCTAAAGCCACTTCCGCATG